AGTGGGAGAGGGAGAAGCAGGCTTCCCGCGGAGCAGGGAGCCCGATGTGGGGCTTGGTCCCAGGACCCTGGGATCATGACCTGAGCTGAAGGCAGATGCTTAACGACTGAGCCACCCAGACACCCCTTGATTGTTTTTTTTAAAATAGATTTTTTTTTTTAAGATTTTATTTATTATTTATATGAGAGAGAGACAGAGATAGAGAGAGAGCACATGAGCAGGGAGAGGGAGAAGCAGTCTCCCCTCTGAGCAGGGAGCCCAACGCAGTACTCAATCCCAGGACCCTGGGATCATGACCTGAGCCGAAGATAGCCGCTTAACCGACTGAGCCATCCAGGCACCCCTTGATTGGTTTTTCTGCATAAGGTCTCGCAAGGCTGAAATCAAGGTCGGGTTCTGGGGAAGAATCCAATTATAGGTTCATTTATGTTGTTAGTAGAATTCAGTGCTTTACGGTTGTAGGACTGAGGTCTCTGTTTCCTTGCTAGCTGTCAGCTGAGGGTCGCTCTCAGCAACTAAAGATTGATCTCTGGTTCTTGCATGTGACCTCTTGCATCTTCAAAGTCAACAATGACATGTCAAATCCTTCTTTTGCTTCCAATTTTGACTTTCTTTTCTGCTACCAGCTGGAGAAAACTCTTATTAAATGGTAATAGGCTATACAGGGCCCACACTGATAATCTCCCTATTTTATAGTCTACTGATTAATAACCTTAATTACATCTGCAAAATCTCTTTCACCATGTAAAGTAATATAATCACCAGGGTAACTCCAGAGGTCAAAGGTCAAAGGAGCCATACTGAAATTCTGTGACACAAGCTGTCACAGCTGAAATTCTGAAAACAAATTATTTATGACTGCTCCCATTTACTAGAAATAAATAATTTTATTACCAATTTTTAATTAAGTGTGTGTCCAAAAAAGATGTCTGTTCTTAAAAATTACAAAAGAAAGCTGAATAAAGAATAAATGTTTCTGCAAAGCAGGAAATGTTTTAACATCACAGAAGTTAGGGAATAAAAGATTAAACATATGTTAAAAAGAACTTGGTAAGTGTTTCCAAGTAAGTTGAATGTTTTCTCAAAATAATAACATTATCCAATTATGAGAATCACAAAACTGTGAAATGAAAGATAATCGCAATACATTTAAATGTTGTTTTAACACATTTGTATAAGTCCCCTAGTTTGAAGAGAAAGAGATGTTTATGAACAAAAAAATCAGATGTCTCCTTGATCCCAATTAAATAAGCATATACAAGTATTTAAAGATTATCAATCTGACAATGCCAGCACAGACTAGTCCCATTTTATATTGTACTGTGATCAGTATACAAATACATGTGCTAAATGAGTATTTGTGGATCACTGATCAAATAAATTTGTGCATAGGCGAAGACTGGCCCCCTAAGACAAGCACAGCATGGTGGGCATGTCCCCTGTGTTTCACAGAACTACAGGTTCCAGGGGCCAAAATCACAGAGCTGAGGGGTAGAGGGACAAGGTAGAAAAGGAGATGCCAGGGGAAAATATAGGAAAGTTGCCCTAAATTATCAGAGCCAAGAGCAGCTAAACAAAGCCTGACTATCCATACATCCCCAATAGCCCCTAATATTTTACCCTTCCTGATTTCCTAAGGCAGATGAAAAGGTCACTTTTTCTCCACATTCCTCAGCCTGCATTCTAACCCTTGGGAATCCTCTTTCCCCTTCACAGCTGCTCTTTGAATTTACAAATTTAACAGATTTCACTGTCTGGGCTTTTTCCTCAACTAACACATCCCTAAGAATTGATCAACACGCAAATCGTTTTCCAAATAATCCTCTTAAAAGTTATCACCATCTTCTATCTCGCTCCCCCCAAAATCCACTACACACACATTTTTCCCTCTTCCCATCCAGGCCTAAATGAATGCTTTTATTTATTTTTTTTTTAAGATTTTATTTATTTATTTGACAGAGAGAGACATAGCGAGAGAGGGAACACAAGCAGGGGGAGTAGGAGAGGGAGAAGCAGGCTTCCCCGCGGAGCAGGGAGCCTGATGTGGGGCTCGATCCCAGGACTCTGGGATCACGACCTGAGCCGAAGGCAGATGCTTAATGACTGAGCCACCCAGGCGTCCCTAAATGAATGCTTTTATAGCTGGTTTTGCTCCTATACATATTCCACAATGTGAAGGAAGTTTCTAGACTTACTTTTTACAGTTTGAAAAATTCATAACCAGGAACCTGTTGCCCAAACAGGCTATAAATCCATATCCCTCTTGAATATTTTCTCACTCACAGCCTTCATGTTATCTTGGTATGAAATTCCCAGTAGTGCTCATAATTCTGTTGCCTTGAACCTTCTGGGGGATACTTTACCCACAGATAATATAGCTCATGTATCATTTGTTACATGTAAGGAAGAGGTTAGTGAAACTATATAGAGTGTAAGACAGCAGAATGAAATTAAAGGAAACAAGTGGAGGACAACTGGTATTTGAGGGCTGAGCAAGATATCTGAAAAGTACCAACAACCCAACCAATTAACTGAGGCAAACAGAAATGAGGCACAGGACTGTTAACCAATGAGAAGGATGTACTTCTTTACCGTAGAGGGGGGAAGGGGGCAGTAAAAAAAAAACCATCTCTTCCTTGGGACAAACACACAAACACACAAATTCAATTCAAAATCCATTCAGCTAGGTTCCTTTGATACCTAGCAGTGATCCAGCTGTAGAGTTTGGTGTGGTTTTAATTCCAAGATATATACTTTATGTCATCAAGACTTCCAGGCCCCTTAGAGAGCCCAAGTCCATTCTCAGGAATTCTTTAAATAAATGTTGCCCTCATAGTTATTTCTTGATTTTACTTGCGTTATCTTTTTTTTAACCCCTGTATTAAAGATGACCCAGAAAAATTACAAGGCTCGCATATATTTTAATACTGGGTGAAGAGGGAAGGGAAGTAGATTTTCAAAATCTCTAAATAAAACAGAACTAGGTAATAAATGCTCTTAGACTTAATCTAATTATTTGAACATTTAGTGAGAGGTAGACATGAGTAAAAATGGAGTAAAATGGCAGTTATAGCTTGTCATCCTTTTTTTTAGAACCAAAATCTGTTTTGCAAACCCATTTTTTTTAATTATTATTATTCATTTGAGACAGAGATACAGAGCAAGAGAGAGAGCAGGAGCAGTGGGGAGAGGCAGAGGAAGAGGGAAAAGCAGACTCGCTGCTGAGCAGGGAGCCCGATGTGGGGCTCGATCCCAGGACCTGGAGATCATGACCTGAGCCGAAGGCAGACACCCAACCATCTGAGCCACCCAGATGCCCCTTTGCAAACCCATTTTCACAAGAAAACCCCAAATATAAAAGGGATGAAATTAAAGATTCTCTGGTTGAAATAAGTACAAGGAACCCACAGTCCCATCCAAGGTCTGAAACCAGTTTAAGCCGGTTGTCATATATCTCCATAGAAGCTGGAGTGATTGAATCTTGAAGCACAGTTTGGAAATCATTGAACTGAAGCGCCTGGGTGGCTCAGTTAAGTGGCTCTGACTCTTGATTTCAGCTCAGGTCATGACCTCATGGTCGTGGGATCAAGCCCAGTGTCAGTCTCCACGCTCAGGGTAGAGTCTACTTGAGATTTTCTCCCTCTCTCTCTGCCCCTCCTAGCCCTTGCGCTCAAGGGAGTGATGCCCCTGCTCTTGATATCATTTGCCCAAGTGAAATGGACTCTCTAATATCAACTACAAGGGAAGGGAGTAAGTGACCAGCACCTTAGAAAACCAATCAATACAGTTAGCATAAATTTAAGACAATCTGCAGAGAAAAAAAACTTCAGTGATTTTCTAGGCAAATAAAGATAAATCTGAGAAAGGAAGAAAAAATGTGCAAACATTTCCTGATTGCCTTTCTTTTTTTATACTGTTGAATAATACATGTGTATTTATACATATGTATATATTTGCAAGTCACCTCAAATTCTTTTTGTAAAGAGGTGAGAATTGGAGAATAGGGAAAGAGGAGTTCCCACTCAAGATGGCGGACGTTAAGAGGATCCTGAACTCACGTCCTCCCACAAACATACCAAATGGACAGCTACATATGAAACAACTTTCTCTGGAAAACAAACAAACAAACAAAACAAAGAAAGAAAGAAACTAAAACCTGCCTGAGCAACCCCTATGCTTTGGGCCAGTGAGGATAGGCCCACATCAAAGCAGGCAGGAGGCTGGGACACCTCTTACCATAAGCCCCACCCCTAGTGCCGCTATCCGTAGTGGGGACCGAGCACAAAAGCCAATAGAGAAGGGTTCGAAGGGCACCTGCGTCACCCCTAGGTCTTTAAGACCTGAACCTGAGAGACAAGCCCCGAAAACATGAAGCTTTGAAAACCACCGGGGGGGCTCGCTTCCATGAGACCCACCGGCTCTGAGAAACAGGTCTTGAAGGACTCTCGCCCTTGGACTTACCCGCCTCAGGGTCCAGCATGGAGGCACGCCGGACTTTGCGCGGGAAAGGCTCACTTGCTTTTTGCTTGTCCCGGAGCGTCGGGCTGAGAGGCAGGCGTCTGATTTGAAACGCCTGCGGAGGCGGGCTCTCGCTCTCGCCGGGCTGGAGACTGGCGGGCGCCATCTTCGTCTGCACGCTCTCCCTGCGCCGCGCTCCTGAGCGCCGGCAGGCCCTGAAGGGGAGCTTTTACGCGCATCTGGTGCCCGGGGCTTTGCGGCTGCGGCCCAGGGGGTCCCCGTGATGTCCTGGCTCTGGCGGCCAGGGGCGCTTGTGTTCCGGGGTCCCACGGGACTGTAGTTCCCTCCCGCCAGGCTGCCAGCCCCGGGGCCCGCACAGACCACGGACTGGCACGGCCCAGCGTTTCTGTGAAAAAGGCCTCTTAGCTTGTTCTGGAGCCTTGGCCTGAGGGGCCGGCATCTGATTTGATACACCTCTGAAGGCCTGACAGAACGCTGTCCTTGGATGGAGACCACAGAACCGTCTTTGCACTCTCGCTCTGCCGCGCTCCAGCTGGTGGGCGCCATCTTCCTGCTCTCTTTTCTGGCTCCAGAGGGCCAGTAACTCCCGGAGGGGAGCTTTTACACAGGCCTGGTGCCCAATCTTTACCGCTGCTGCCCAGGGGATGCCCCCTTGATCACCTGGCTCTTGTGGCGGGGGGCACTTCAACTTTCAGTCCTATAGGACTATATATATTTGCATACTGTAAAAGCTACTGCCTGAGGGTCTGGCTTCCCATCAGTCTGAATCTAGGTGTAGACTGAGAACCTCCCCTTTGGGACCCTGACTGGTCTTGGCACACCCTCAACTACTGGGAGCCATTAAAATATAATAGGCTGCTTGAACAATCACAAAGGTTTGAGAGGCAACCGAGTGCTAGGGCAGGGTTGAAGGATAAGGTTCATCACCTGGGGGAGGCCCCCCCAAGACTGGGAGAGGTGGCTGTTTTACCTAATGCATAGAAAGCAAACAGAGAATCAAGCAAATGAAGAAACAGGGAAGGAGGGAGGAAAGAATGTGCAATGACAATATGGAAAAAGAAAAGCTGTATGTGATAGAACAAATAAAGATCCAGGGATCAAAATACATAAATACAGGAGAATTCGGCCACTTGTTCATTAACTACTTATTAAACACTAACTTTGTTCTAGGGGTTTCATGGCAGGTCCTAAGGGTATAAAGATGAGAGGGCTGCCTAGGTGGTACCTGGAACTGATGGAGACAGGGATGTCATGTTGCAGAATTGCAAAGAGTACCCTCTAGAGTTGTGCAGTGAGGTGGCCATGGGCATGCAAACCAGACTTAAACAGTTACATGTAACAGGTACTGTAAGAGTCATGAAATCTGTGGGAGCAAAGAGAGCAACTGAGACTACCTGGATGAGTTAGGAATGGCCTTACAGAGTAGGTGGTATCTGAGCTGACTTCAGAAAATGAGTGGAGGGTTGCCAGGCAGAGAAGGGGGAAGGGTCTGCCAGGCACTGTGTCAGAAATATAAAACTTTTCTGATACCTCAAATCTGTGTTCCTTAGGATGCCTATTTTAAAAATAAGCAACCTAGTATGTAATTAAGTAATTTTCTTAGTCATACAGTAAAACTACATGGAAAATCAGTGAAAACTCAGTTTTTTTTAAACTCACTTTAATCAAGATTTAGAAGTGTCTTGCTTTTTCATTTCAGTAATAAGGACAACCAACTTGGGATCCCTCTCTGAATTGCTTGTCCCTCTCACCATGTAGAAGCATTAAATGCTGTGTAGAAACACTGGAAGTTTCCAGTAAAGTTCCTGCATTTTATCCAACTTTTCTTCCCTTCTGAACAGTAGCAGGAAGTCAAATGAAGTCACTAGGACAAGTCAGCAATTTAGTGAAATTCGATGCAGGTCACAGTGCCTCTTTGCTTTAGAATTTAAAAATCTGGAGGTGAGAAAGGTTTAGGTAATAATTAGCCTCTGACTCAATGGTAGGGCATGAAATGCACAGTACTTGTGCAGCAAAAAGGTCATCTGGTCTACAAGCAATCTCAGGACCCAGAATTTGCTGTTCTGCCTTCCCTAACAGAGGAACACTGGACAGAAAAGAGGCAGCTTTCTTTACTAAATGCTCAGCATTAATAGCAATTTGCCTTAAGAGTGAAGCAACTTTAAAGACTCAAAATCAGAGCTAAGAAGAAAATAAACCAAGGGTTCTAGACTAATGTTTTAACCTTTTTAAAGTAATTTGAACAATTGCAAAGCATGTTTCCAGGATGTATTTCCTTAGCTGCCATGATTTATCATCTGGGTCAGATGATAAATATGCTACATATGCTCAGACTATTGGTTTTATCATTTAAACCTTTCTAAATATACTTTAAGAAGTGTGTGAGATTTCCCATGAGAAAGTATAGCATTGTTGCTAAGTTCATGGTCTCTGAAATCAGACCTCCTTGGTTTAAATTCTAACTTCAGCCCGCTTCCCTGTATAACTTTGACAAATCACTAAATCACTCTAAACCATAGTCCCCTCCACTGCAAACATGAGGCTAATAATAAAAACCACCTCACAGGTATCATAGTGGGGATTAATTCAGATGATCTGTGCAGACAACCTACCCATTTTAACCACTCAGTAAATCAGCTATTTTTCTCCATTTCACTCCTGATGTTTTCACTCTAAATTGATGGTAGAAAGAGATTTCTGAGAGTGCTTAGGTTTTTTTTTTTTTTTTTCCAATTTTTTTTTTATTCTTATGTTAATCCCCATACATTACATCATTAGTTCTAGATGAAGTGTTCCATGATTCATTGTT